AGTATAATTTCAGGTTGATAATGCAAGTGTTGTTTAAACTGGGAGCATTCGGTATTTTGCATACAGTATTTTTTTAGGTATAATACAAAATGTGTAGCTTTAAAAAAAACCAACGTTTTATGGAATTCTAGTGGGTGAGCAGCTGTTTCCACATTGTTAGGGCACAGAAGTTAAGAGTTCCGATTGCCACATTAATCAGAAAGAACTGAGACTACGAAATCCATTTTATTTAATCTCATTATTGAATAAACAGCTCTGTAGTGATGCCTATTTGTACTTGTTTCTCTAATAAAAATGCAACTGTAGCTCTCAACACAAATTAGTTTTAATTATTTAAATGATATGAATTTGTCAAACATAAATAATCTAACACCTGTTTTGCCTTTTCATTTTATGAAAAAAATGTTTCGTGAAAACTAATAGAGGATGATAGTGGGGAATAACAAAGGTAGGTCTATGTATTTATTACAATTCTATTAATTCAAATAAATGCAGATGTGAGTTGATTACTGTCTAGCAGGATGAAGAAGCTGTCCGTCCAATTGCTATGCAAGGACACAAAAGAAAACAGCAAAACAGAAGGATGTCTCACATACACTGGGTCAATGCAACTCACTTGTCCTATGCTCATCTCTGAGAATTGGTAACAGTGATTTACAGTATAGCAATTCATCTTCTGAATACAGTGGTAACATTATAAAGCAATCAGTGATGTAGCTTTTGTGATGCTTAATGAAGGCACCAAAAGCTGCTGTGACAGTCACCAATATATGTAAAACAAACCTCAGGCAAAGGAAATCACAAATCTGAGTTTCCTTGTTTTGTTTTTGGTTTAGTAATTTCATTTCAGGAGATGAGCCTGACCACGCCTGTAGAGTACCCTGAGTGTCAGATGAGTATAATTTGGTATAAAACCCAGTTGGTAGCTAACTCTGAAAATTGAGGTCTCTTTGTTTTCTCCATAGGATAGTATAATCATATTTGTTGTTTCTGTTTCATGCTACATTTTGTTTTAAAATATTTGCTATTTAAAATTCTGGATATCTTAACACACAGCCCTGAATTCATTTATGATTTTGTTAAGGAGGGATATTGAAGATGTAATCCAGTTGTGGTTGGTGGAGGTGACCTCATATGGCACTTCAAGCAGTGATAATTTGTATGACTTTCTGTATATTAAACCATACTTTAATATTGATTCTGTTTGTGGTGTATTAACTGTTATCCTTTCTTGGTGAAGGAAATGTGCTAACCAGATAGTTACTGTTCTAAATCAACAAGGCAATTTTAGAGTCACACAGAGCTATTGAAACCTACCACTCAGTAGTTTGTCTGCCAGATTAATCATCTTTATTATCCCTTCTGGATGTGTCTCTCTTCCTTCGTGCAGAATATTTCCAGCAGGCAGGCTTATCACGAGAACTTATGACACTCCAAGGATGTGATTATGTGACCATCACAGTTAATATTGTGCCCTACATATCAATAAGACAGCCCAGGGTTTCAAAGCTGTCTTTTTTTAAAAAATCAAATTACAGAAAATGTTTCCTAAACCATTTTATTATATTTCAGGGGGCATTTTTGCTCAAAATGCTCCTATGATTATTTTGTATTAACTGTACTTCCTTCTCAGTGCAGTTAATTTAAAACATTTATACTCAAATTTTTGCATAGCAGCCTCTTTTTTTAGACCTTTTGTTTGCAACATTTAATTATTGTTAAATAATCAGAAATATTCTACAGGAAAGGTACTGTGGGACTGCTGAATTTGTTTTGATGTCACTGGAAATCAATTAAATGTCAAAATAAAATCATATTTCTAGTGTTGCAAAGAACTACACTACCACTCAAGAATCTGGATTTGATTTAGTTCCAAGAATCTGGATTTGATTTGGTTCTTGTTATTTTTAAATAATTTTAATTTAATAATTAATAATTTATGACTTAAAACTATATAAACGTCAATGTCAATTAAAAGAAAAAAATATTCAAGAAAGAACAGTGTTTTCAAAACTCCAACTATAAATCGGAGTGTACCTTCCTGCTACAGTACATTTGAACTTGAAGAAGGAGCTACGAACTGTGTTTAAGCCTCCAGAACTGTTTCAGTGTTGATCTGACCACAATTTTGGGAACAAAAAGTCTTTTTAGAGAAAAAAATATTTTTCATTTATGTCTTAGAATGGGACTTCGCTTTTCATTTTTAGTGGGCTGCTCTTAAAACATAGAACTGTTTTACAACCTAGTTAGCTAGCTTGTAATCTAGATGTATAAATTAAATAAAATGACAGTATTGCTGATGTTGCATTCAATGCTGCAGTGTATCTCACGAAGCCTTCATGATAACAGATACTATAATGACAAACAAGTCTATCAGGATAATCAGATTTAATAGTAGTATCTCCCAAACAATATCCCACAAAAACATATCTCTGTTTTTAAATATATTTCCCTAAATAAGTGGAGTTTTGTATTACTTAATCTGAGCTGTTAGTATGGG